TCCCTCCTTCTGCCATGCCTTGTCAAAGCTATGATGGGGTTCTATACTTTCCTACAATGTTAATAATATGGTACTCCAAACTTGACACTTCCTGCAGTGGCTACATGGTGAAAGCCTTCCATTGTCACCTCTTTTCTCCAAGTTTCTCATCAGATTCTGTGAAATAAAAGGCAATGTGTTTTGGTCCTATTTGATCCTGGCGTGGTACAAAGGAAATATGAATCAGTAGTATGCACTTTGCAGCAATGAACAACTGAAGGAGGTGTTGACACAGCCATTAAGTTTAGCCACCAAGACTTGACTTGTAAATTATCTGAATATAGGTTTGGGTTTTCTCAGTGCTTTTTAAAAAAAATTTAAACATTAAAACACATGGCCTTTTCCTATGCCCTGTCTCTTAGGACTTTGCTTTGAGTGTAGATTCTGAGCGGCATAAGATCTGGTATTAGAAACCAACACACGTGAGTCTGCACTTTACACTCAGACACGCAGTATGGACTACACACAGCCCCATTCTCAAACATCCGCCATGAATTACACATGTGCCGTGGTTCAAACACTGGCAGAAAAACAGGCAGACCCCTGCAGTCCTTTGATTGGCTCTCTAGCTTATTTACTGTGTCTCTGAGTGGAAATTGCTTAACAGAGCACTTTGATACAGCTCCAGACCACAACCAGATCAGCAGGTATATTTAGCAAAGCACTGTTCTAAAATACTCTAAGCTGTAAAAAAAAAAAAGAAAAAAAAAAGTGTTTAGTTATCTTAACGTTACTAATTTGCTTTGGCAGACTTTTGTATATTTGGTCAACATTTTCCAAGTCCATTTGTGTACGTTATCCATCTTTGGTACCGCAAGATACACTAGTTTGTTCTGCAGCAAAATATTGACTGCTGGAGTTCTCAGTCATATGATATATTACACCGGTCTCCCATAATGTACCAAACAACTGACCTCCTGGCCCCAAGTCTTACTGACTTCGAAACACTCAAATGACCATTGGAAAATGGTATGAAGCTGCTCTGCTGTTGTCAGCCCTCATTCATCTGACACAGTTGTTAAGCCAAGACCCATTACTCGACACACCACCACTGCACAGTCAGAAGACTGACTTTAGTATTGTCGACTAAACAGTTTTGCTTAGCCAAACATATCCTGTCGCAGCCGTTCACTGGTGCTTCCCTTTCATCATAAACAAGTAGTAACACCTAAGTATGATGGGAAAAAATGAAGTGTTTTAGGTTTTAACATGGATTGAAATAAAAAACATTTGACCCTTGTGTTCCACTTCATACTGCAAGATATCAAAGCCAGATATGTGCTTGTCCAATTTAGTGTAGCAGTAAATGTATCCCTTACTATCATGACTGAGTCAACCAAAATGGCCTCTAAACATTTCAGATTTGAAACTGACTTACTTTGAGCTGTTCTTCGAGTTATCAAGGTGAACTGGTTTGATGATAGTGATACCACTGGTTAATTAAGTCAGTTTAGCTTAGTCTAATGTGGTGTGTCTTTTTTGTCTTATCTTCCTGTCATTTTGTTCCTCTGTATGGTTTGATGTCACGTTTTCTGTTCAGATTTCATCATGCTGCCTTGTTTTAATACAAATGTTTCAGCTCTCTTTCAACGGTGTACATCTTTCTCCCTCCCTGCTTTTCTTCTTTTGATTAGCACTCACATCCTGCCTTTTTATGTTATGCTGTGTTTATCTTGAACATCTTTCTGTTTTTCATCTTACATTTCTTTATTTTTTTTCTCCTCCTCATTTTAGCTACCGTTATTATGATGGATGTGTTATTGTAGAATGGCACTGGTAAGATGCAGCATTTCTCCGTGTAGGGGTGTAGAATAGAATTGATATTGTGTTTGACGTGGTTTTTTTTCCCCCTCCTCCCCCCCGTAATGGAGACAGCGGCTGCCACTGACCTGTGATTCATGGATTACAACATGACTTTTGTGTCATTGTGACGTTAAATACTTTAGCCTTAACGATGGGCTGAACATTTTTTATACAAAGGTCAGAATTTTTACTTGTATAGCTTCCTCCACATGCAGATAAGAAACTTCAAATGAAATATGCTAACGAAGATGATGTCAAAGATTAAAAAAAAACTATCTCTGCCAACATCAAAAACTTTCTGCTATTGATGTCTTAAACGCTTTGAGATAATTAGCATTTTAAGCATACCTTTGGTTAAATAATTAACACCCTGTCGGATTGATCACTGCACTTCCTCTTTTCCTCCCAGAATGAGCCTATAAAATGACTTTCCACAGATTTAAAAGTGGTTGAATTGACCAACTGCAATCTCATACATAAATGATCTGTGACATAGCAAAGAATGGCACCTCTGCAAATTAAGTCATTTTGAAGGAAATTGGCGGTAATTTGATGCCACAGTCTGAAGTAGTACTCTGCTTAAAATTGCTCATTTTAACTGTTTCTTCTCAACGATTAGCACAGTAAAGCTTCCCTCTCTCTCTTTTTGAGCTTCGAAAGAGAAGTGCTCTGCCTCAGCCCTCAGGGATGGATTGTATATCTATATACTAGACAACCATTCAGAAGGAGCTATGGTTTTGTGACAAGCCCATTTGAGCTAAAGTCCTTATATTGCTTAAATGCTAAAATGTGATTAAAATACGCATTTAATTAGAATAATTCCTAAATAACTTTACATAAACAATTCTCGACTTAATGAAGCCAGAAATATAAACTGAGAGGTTCTGTAACTGTTATTTTATTATTGGCTTTCAGTGGAGTGCAGTCCAGACAGGATACAACACAAATGAAATTCACACACTTCATTTGTAAGTGAGCTGTTATGCTTTTCTGAAGTTTAGGCTCAAGGCTCCGTCTATGCAGCTCTCAAATTCATCCCCATGTTTATCTGATAACTCCATAAGAAGATAGGCCATGTGCGATATGAGTCGTAGCCTCTTCATATCGTGTCCTCTTTGATGCATTTCTTATGGCCTCTTGTGTTATCCACCATCCTTTGAACAAAACTCTAGTTACTAGTTAGAGGACAATGTTTTGCTCTCTTTGTGCCCACTGCTTGTGTTTCTGTGTCCATTCCAGTGGCAATTGCTTTGATGAAGTACCTCTCCCACCAGGTCATTAAGACAGCCCTGGGAAAATTATGTTTAATGGTCGCCCTGGTGAATTCATAAATCATTTATTTTGCCGCACACCTGGCCCATTTATAACCGCTTAAATGCGAAGGTCTGCCAGCGTTTATGAGGGGAGCTAGATACTTCTGTGAACTGAGATAATTGTGGTTCACTCACCTGTAAATCACTATCAACTCCTTCCCAAAATGTATAAATGTCTGGCCTTGTTTGGATGCTTTGAATGGAGCTTTAATCTCCACTGCCAAAATAAGCCATCTTCCTTCATGGTGTATTGTTTCCCTCTTAATGTCTAAATGTGTACATTGTGTTTGTGGCCACACATTTTGGATTACACCTCTCCATCTCTTTGTTACGTGATTTGATTTATTTCTGCCTGTTTCTCTGTTTTTCTTTTTGTTTTGTTTTATTCTTGTCATATTGCTCAGCTATCAGGATTATGAACCTGAGATCAAGTAAGGCAAAATTGGAAGGACCCTTTTCCCATAATGCCATCTTTCATTTACTCCTCCATATGAACACATTTGCACCCAAATCCATCTAGCTGCCTCTTTGAATCATTAACGTGATTTACTGTGGAGTAGTCAGTCATGTTGAAGGCCACATTAGTGTGCACACGGCACTCCTGTCCTAGATATACATATGTGACAAGCAAGATTAGTTTTAAATGACACCTGTATCTTCACAGTGCACTCTATAGAAATATTAGTACTGTAATGTAGATACGGCACTCACGCTTTGATAGTCTTTTTTTTTTTTTTCTCTTCCATCTGCATCCAATCTGTATAAGTAGATAAGGGCACTCATTTCACAAATCAAAGTATAGAGCAGTGATTCCCAACCGGAGGTCCTCCTACCCCAGGGGGTACCTCAGCACTTGCTAGAAGTCTACTTGAAAGGATTGTGGAGTGAAGAAAAGTGGGGGGAAATTAAATTTTGATTTATAAATATAGTCACATATTGAGTCAGCCTTAACACCTGAATGCCAGAAGCTGTAATTGAGATGGCATTAAAAGAAAATTTGAAACAGCTAAAATGTGCTTAAATGGTTGAAATACTTAACTAAAGTAATGAATGAATGTATCATGATAATATCCACTTTTATAGACTTAATAGTATCAAAAAACTGTTTAAAATCAAATCAAACTAGAGCGGTATAAGGCCATTAGTCCAGTCTTCTATGAAATGTAAATTTGCAAGCGCAACCACTACTGTATAGATGTCTGGAGACAAACTATTAGAATTACAATATGTCAAAATACAGTTGTGCCTAACTAAAACCTCATCATATCAGCTGTGCATTTATTATTTAGTTTGTGCAGGTTGGAAAACTCCAGATTAATAAAAAAAAAAATCACATTCGTGAAATTTAATGGGTTCTTCAATGACCCATGCTACACCCTTCCACAAAGTTTCATGAATATCTGGGCCAGTAGTCTTTCCGTAATCCTGCTGACAGACACATGTGCACTGAAAACAATAACTCCTCGGCGGACTTGAGTTCATGTTCATTGCTTGAATGACTGCAAATAAGGAAAAGGAAAGGTAAACTAATCAGAAAATGAAGATTAAAATCATTGTCAACTTCTTTTCCCTCTTCATTTGTTTTGTGCCTTTTCTCCCTCTCATCAGTAAACCATAAATTTTAACTGTGATAATGTGTGTAATGATACCTCAAACTGATTTCTTTTGGATGCTTTTTAAAAGAGTGGTAGCACACACTGCAGTTAAAGTTGTTGCTTTTAAATCAGCCATACATCCCTTTGTTCTCACCAAATATTATTAACACTCCAAAACCAGTTTTAAAACATTTTGAAGATAATAACCTTGTCATATGGTTTGAAAGATGGCTGTTTGTTTATATTCCAGATCGTGGGTGATCGGGGCCATTGCCTTGCTATGTCTGCTGGGCCTTACCTGGGCCTTTGGCCTGATGTATGTCAACGAGAGCACGGTGGTCATGGCCTACTTGTTCACCATCTTCAACTCCCTGCAGGGAATGTTCATCTTCATCTTCCACTGTGTGCTGCAGAAGAAGGTATGTTTTCATTCTTAAGATGTGCTGTGTGATTTTACACATACAAGAAATTGTATTATGTGACATCAGATGCCTGAACATGTGATTAAATTAATTCCGTGCTTCAGCAAAACCTATCCCCAAATGTGCCACGTATGAAATGCTGTGAGATTATTACTCCTGGATTTGATCTAATCATTAGCTTGTATGTGCTGTACCTGTGCTTTTGTTTCATACAGGTGCGTAAGGAGTATGGAAAATGCCTGAGAACTCACTGCTGCAGTGGCAAAAGTGTGGAAAGCTCCGTCGGCTCTGGAAAAGGCACCGCCTCTCGTGCCCCAGGACGTTACTCCACAGGGTCACAGGTGGCGAGACACTTTTAATGCTCTCCTTTCTTTTCTTTCTTTGCGTTCTTGATTTACTGCTCTTGGCAGTATCTCCTTTAGCAAACCCAGACGAAATAACGCACATTTGGCTTTGGATTACTGCTGCGTTTTATCTGTCTGCGTAGCTAGAAGTGAGGATGACTTGTTCCTAGATAATAATCTGTGACATTACACAGATGTGCACCCCCTTACAGAACAAATGAGAAAAAAATGCAAAGGTGACTGTGTGGGTATGCATGATAGATTTCAAGGAGGTGCAGCATATGTCCTTGTTTGGAAGTGATAGCAGGAAAATGTAGTGCTTGTTGAGCTGAACACTTTGTAAGTACATAAAGTCAGTCTGCAATTCATTTTCACTGAAGCAGGCTGCGCGTTGGCACAGCGACGCTGACTAAAGTATATGTGAATTCTGTGCGCAAGTGGTATGTCTTGAAAAGTAAATTGTTAATGGATTCCTCCCACATTGACATGAAGTATAGGTTGAATTGCCATGATACACTATAATTGAACATCATATCCATATTCTAAAGAGTGTGATTTCCTTCCAGTGTTCAATTATAAATAGTCCTTAGAGTCAAGCATGCAGTGGCAACCCACGATACAAGCTGGATTCTGCCTAAAGATCAAAGCGTTTAATTATACACAGTGCTTTGACGCGATGGCTCTAACCTCATGCTCAGTCACTTTATATGAGCAAAACAGAAATGGAAACACTCAGGAAGACGTGGTTGTTTATTGCTAACTCTGAGGCCTCTAAATGAATGTGTAATCAGCAAAGTACATTAGAACCCGCTGGCTACGAATGGTTCAAGTTTCTGTCCAAAAAAGAAGAAGAAATAGCACTGTCACTTTCAACCCATTGATGCCGTCTCCAGTGCCGGGAACGGCATCACGTACAATATGTTAATGAGATCAGCTGTGTCAGTATATGTCACTGTTAGAGTATGTGAGATGTGTGTCACCCGGGGTTGGCACAGACATATAATGACATGTATGTATGAGAATGCAGTATTGATCACAACACCTCTTCGTGGGCATTTTTCACATCATTTCTGATGCGGTGATTACGCTTTTATGAATAGAAACATGTTCACGGTCTGAATGTCGCCCTTAAACGGAGAATTTCAGGAGGAGATTTGGCAAGATGCTGTGACAGCTCGATTTTAGTTAATAGTGATGGCAGTGGCAATGACTTAATTAAGCTGAAACCTGTCTGAAGTGTTGAAGGCAATCACAGAAAGAGAAAGATTCTTAAAAGCAATACTTCACTGCATGACCTGTCCTGTCATTTTTGAGCCAGGACCATGCTATTGTGTTATATTTTGCACATGGTTAACAATAAATTGCTCTTATGCCAGCGTAAAGATGATTCTTCAATGCAATGATGACCCAAGCTACAAAAATAAGTCATTTGTTGTAACAGACTGGAATGATTCTTTAAGCAAAGCATTTCATCACAAAACAATTTGCACATTATTTTTTCACTGTCACCAAAGCTGTTATATATTAACCTGAAATCTTCTGCCAAGCCCCTCTGGCACAGGAGAGAAAGTAGTGAGCTCTGTGGGTGGATATCCAGACCCTCAGCTTGTGCAACAGCCCATGGGACTCTGTCATAATTAACCAGGATGAGAACCCCCTTGGATTGAGCCTTTGCAACCTGAGACACTGATTCGGAGAGCTTGACTGATGACTTTAGTAGTGACTTCACTTATCCCAGTACTAATGCTCATCTTTAATTGGAGGTTACTTATCCCAACAGCTGACATGGTTTAAAAACCAGATTAAAAAGCTGACAGTCTTTTTTTTCCCTCCCTCCTGCTTCACATCTTACCCTTTATTGTGTTAAAAAGTAGATGAGGAAAAGTTCTTGTAATAGAAATATACTAATAATGTGGTTTAGGCCTGGTTCATTTCTATTTCAATGAACTTCTTCTCCATGTGCAGACTTTTACTCTCTAGCTGTGTCACTGGCAGCGTTGAGAGTGAGTATTCTGATGTGTTTTGACATGTTGTTTGTCTCCACAGAGCCGCATCCGTCGAATGTGGAATGACACAGTCAGGAAACAGTCCGAGTCCTCTTTTATGACCGGCGACATCAACAGCTCTGCGTCACTCAACAGAGGTATTTAGTCCCGCACTAAATATTTACTTGAATGACTCCTCAATACACCCACTTTAGCGAATCAAAATCCTTTTTTTGCCACTCAAAGCTTTCAACCTTGACACAACCTCCCAAGTCAGGTAATGAGTCATTTCACAATAGTTTGCAGACACTCCCATACAACCAGAACTGCTGTCCATGTAACACTCAAAAGAGAACGTGATTGTGAATACACAGCATTGATTGAAAGGATAAAATGATTCTTTGGTGTCATGCTGCTACAGAAAATTGTTTGTTATGTTTTGAAGCACCAACAAATCACTTCTGTCGTCTAGTAATTTGAAGGAGTATGCAAAAAGGATTTCATTTAATTTAAACTAAACAATAAAAAACACAATTAAGTCAATGTAATTCTGATACATCATGCATTTCATCAAATTGTTAGAGTTTTGATTTGAAACATTGTGCCATCTGACTGCAAAAACCTTGAAAATGAAACTGCATCCTCTCAGGAAAAGTGCAGAATAACAACCTCAGAATCAATTCAGTGGAATTCCCTCTCAGAAACACGTTAATAAACAGTATTTTACCATAATGCATTTGACAGCTGCGCAGTGAATAGAGTCTCTTAGGTTATACAGAAAATAGATTCCAGACTACATCTGACATGAAGTAGCAAATACCGTCTTGGCTGGCATCCCTCCCTGAAACTCTCCCCACTCATTGCATCTCTTGATGGAGGGCTCGAGTTCCACACTGCACACTCTCTAAATTCGCTCTGGGCGCCTGCTTTCGTAGACACTAATGCATAGTTACAATGATGGATTAATGTTCGACACAGGGAGGAAGTGTCAAGATCTCAATAATTAGACACCAAGCTTAGCACCATCAACAGACTCAGCCTTTATCATTGTGGAGTGGCTGAATTAGGCTATGAGATAGGGCGGTTAGGTCAGGAGTTGAAGAAAACCTACGTGGATCTTCCATAAAGACAAAAGGTGGAGATAGCAACTATCAGCGCAATTATATACCCCCAGCTTCTTACCAGGCTGGATCTGATAGAGAGCTCAAGAATGTGCCAGAAGTGTTTTCCACCGTTTCCTACCGTGTTGATATTAAGGAATTATGTGTTACCTCTCCCCAGGTTCTACTCCCTTCGCACGTGAGAGTGAGATTGCAGCTGACACGCTTGCTGCGCTCTTCTCGAGAGTGGAGTCATGCAATCATCTTGATAGCGTTGCATGTTCAATTTATCCCAGCATTCATGATTATTGCACCACACAATCAGTGTGGTTTTGGAAATTGTCCAATTTATCAAACACAGACACAATAAGTGGGGGATCTGTCACTGGGAGAATTCAAAGGGGGCTGGTGTTTATGGAATACACTGTAATTAGGGCGAGCAGCAACAGCAACAACAAATTACTGTTTTTTAAAATCAAAACAGCATTCTGATTTCCAAGCAAAATTATAAAATGCCTAATTAATACTAAACTCTAACAAAGAATTCGAATAATGCTGAAAGATTGGCCTAAATCAGCTTCTTTTAAATTTTCATAAAAAATACTTTCGCATTAGAATGCTGTCCAAAAGTATACGACAAACTTTTGAAAAGATAGAGAGCCGCAAGGTAATAAAAAAAATCTTTCTCCATTCGCATGACAGATTCAGAGCATTAGAAAAGAAGAGTACACTCTGCCAGGGGATCTAATAGCTGTGTTACTCGTACCTCAGATAAAAAATGTTTACCCACTCCTGCATAGTGCAGACTGGAAGCACATGCATGTATCGCCCTCATAAGTCTTGAATTTGGCTTCTTGTAAACAGGAAACGAATGCAAGTCACAAATATTTTCAGCATACTTGATATTCCGCATAATTGTCAACAGCGAAGGTAAAACAAACATCAGGGAATCTGCACCATTCATGCTTAAGATTGCAGCTTTCAAATCTGCAGCTAAGGTTGCTTTGGTGTGGTAGTATGTGGTTGGGAAACTGATGAGTCATTCGCATAAATAGGAAATGAGCTTCTGTTCTGTTTGTGTGAAGGAGGCGAGGCTGGAGCACAGTAATAACTTCTTCACTAAAGAGAGGGCATGTCACTTCATTCAGAGGTTATTTCAGCAGTGGCACATAAGACAATCAGACATAATGTGAACTTTGCTCTTTGGAGAAAAGGAAATATTACACAGATCCTGCTCATAAGATTGGCAATGCTACAAGCAATAATAAAAAGTCATGTGACCATGACCCCACCTTTCTTACAGTTCCCATGCCTGTTAACCTTTTCATTCTCACACTGCACAAATGCAGTTTACAATGGTAATGGTGGCAGATATGCCACTCGAAATTCCTTGTTATTTTTCAACAATGTGTCTTTGATTTCAGCAAGAGGTAGATGAGAGTAGGTCTCTCATTTCTAGTCAGATTCAGGTTGCAGATTTTGCAGTGGAGGTCACGACAGGGAAGTTTTATCAACTGTAGCTAACTAGCTGTATGATAAGGACGGATGTAAGAACTACTTATTTTTCAGAAACCTGTTTGAATAGTTAGCCTAGATACTTTTTTTATATTTCAAAAAGTATGTTTGCCCTTGATTGTCTGGACTGACTTCATTATGTAGCTAAAGCTATCTCAGAGAGTTATTCAATTCAGACCTGCTAACGATCGTAAAGTCTGACAGCATCCTGGAAAATACTACACAGTGGATGTGCTATTGAGAACTGCATTGTTTTTTACATAACCCCATATAGCTTATTAATGTAGGCCTAGTGTAGTTAGTCAATAATATTCTCCTTGGCCAAAGAACACTTGGTTACTACTGTAGCTAGTAAGCTGATTAGCCAGACATGCTAACAATTTCATCTTACTTTAAAGCAGACGAACACACAGTTTAATCCTGTTTTTAAACAGTTTTTGGTCTTTTGTTCTTGGCCTTTGAAAGGTTAAAAAAGGAATTCTTCTAATGTAAAGTATCGCCACACACCCATGCGCACCGCTTTATCATGTGGAGAAATCCAAAGCTTGACGGGCCTGCCATTCTTAGTTACCCTTGCTAATAACTGCAATCTTGGGGAAAGTGTGTTGCTAACAGTCAATTACAAGAATTTGGAGCACTTTCTGTTTTATTAATTTCTTCAGCCCTGATGGACCAAACAGTGTCCCAAGTGATTATTGTATTCTGTCCTGTTTGAGTCTAGAAATGTAATGGTATGTGTGCTGTGTTGGTCATATTGGTGCTTCTTTGTAATTTATGTCTGTTAACACGAGGATGCTCGCCTGAATGTGGAGCACAAAAACAGGCTTAACACTAATGGCCGGCATTAACAATACAATTAACACACTTCCCATCAGTCCCATTAGCCATGTCAGTTCAGCTCCGCCACTTTCATGTAGCAAAACCCCTCACATTAATGATCATGTGATCATTTGGATGTTAATGGCTGTCATTGCTCAGCTGCATCTGCCCAACTGATATGTATGTTATCTCTCTTTCTCTCTGTCTATATCTCAAATTATCTACCTTCCTACCTATTTTTCTGTCTCTTTGCTCTTGTTCTCTTCTCTTTTTTTCTGTCTCACTCTGTCTCTTTCTGGCTGCTCCAGGGGCTATGGCTAACCATCTTATACCTAATGCACTCCTACGTCCTCATGGCACTAACAATCCCTATAATACATTGCTTGGGGAATCGGCAGTCTATAACAACCCTCTGGGCATGTACAACACACAAGGTGTGCTAGCTTCTTTTCATTCTTTAACATTGTGGCTAGGGCAGTGTTTTTTCATGTCTGATCCTGGAGAAACGTCGAGGTTGGACATCTCTGTTGCCACAGAAAGCAACTTTATGATTGGAGAGTTAAAATTAATGGGCTTACATTAAGCTTAAATGCCAGTGTTCACCCTCGAAGATTTTTACAGGACTTTGATAAAAAAAAAAACCACTGCTCTAGATTGTTGTGTGTTAGCATTGAACAAACTAGCTTTATCACAAAACCCCCACAGGTTTGTTTGGCTGTGGGGTTTTTCAATGGAGGTGTATCTCGGCTCCTGGTTATGTCAGACACGGCTGTTTGGCCGACACATACATTGTATTTTAATTATCAAGAATCGAGCCGGATACACCCCCAGTCATTTATTTTAAATGTGCTATGATGTTGTCAGTGAAGCTTGTGTGCCATGTCTTCTGTCTCTCTGTTTTATAGTTTTAGCATTTCTTTCTTTTTTATGCTGCTGTTGGATTGTCAGACATTGTTGTTTGCCATAAATGCCACTGAATCTTAGTATTTTAATATTTTTATGTACATAAATATTATCTGCCTCCTTTGACTAAATTGCACTTTTATTTGAAACTTTTAATTATAATAACTTTCTAATTCATATATTCAAAATGTGGGTCATTAAGGGGGTCATGTACATTTGATTGCTTTTTCTTTGGGGGTGGGGGGCTAATATATTGGTCTTTGATTATAACACCAATACGAATATTAGATCTGAGTTTTAGAAACCATCTCTGATCAGCAAACAAGAAATCCACTTTATTCTGCGATGAGTCTGACTCTTGAATGCTATTTTTCTCTGTGCAGAGCTGTTATTATTTTACCCCCAACTCTCAGCAGTCAATATGAGATTGCTGTAACTTTGTGAGTCTGTAAAAATTGAGAAACCCGTGTAAAACTCAGATACAAACTCACAGAGAACTTTGATCGGTGGATAATTTATGTACGCAGTACAAGTACCGCATTGGAGCTTGTGACAGAGGGCTATAATTCACTAACATTGCCATAGAGTTAATAGAAATATCTGGAAAGATTTACTGGTGCATTTGACACACAACCTCCATCGCCACGTTTTACCCCAAGGACCCTGCAATAAGTCATAGCAAAACATCTTTTCTTCTATAATTGTTAATTGATATGTTGTGGTTCTATCTGTGGATGTGCAAAATTTGCATAGTGACATAAAACAATTGCATTCTAGAAACATTTCCTTGATACGTCATCAGCATACTGTTTGTGCACATTTCTCTTCTACCTGTCACTGTTATGCTTATTGTGTTTTCTTTTTCTTCTTTCCTTTCCCTCATGCTGTCCCTAAAAGAGCCCTACAGAGAGACAAGTATGGGAGTCAAACTAAACATTGCTTATCAAATGTAATTGACTTTGGCTTTACTTTTCTTTTTACTCAATGATGACAAAGGGGTGATGGGAAAAAAAATGTCATTCCCTTTGGAAGTAATAGCATTCTTTTTATGACAAAGGCCCTCAACGTTTCAAATAGACCTGTAAAAATCTGTTTAAATCACATCCTGAATTCCACTGATTACTGTAGGTAGCACTACACGTCATGTAAAAAAGACTTCAGGCATTTGTATCACACTCTGAATAAGCTAATCCAATTACAGTCAACATTCAGACTCACCTCAACATTTTATAAGGCACGTCAATATAAATTGATCTGTGTTCCTCTCAGTGAATATGTGTGCCTTTGTTCATGCACTTATTGTTTTTGACCATTCACTTTGATCAAGCCAATACACTTCTTGAAGGTCTTAGAAATGCGCCTTGTCAAATTTTCAAGAGGTCAGACTGTGTGGATGGCCTTGTCAGAGGCAGTTTGAAATACTGTCAAAAGTTTGCTTTGATGTTGATAGCATGGACTTGGTCTAACTGATAAAGTATGAAATCTACATGTCCATGCAACAGAGAGAACAGAAAGTCTCCCTCCTTCTAGTGCGGGTTGACCCTGAAATATAATAACTAATTCACATTTAGAGAGATGGCTAGTGATGTTCACACGGACAAAGCAGAGCAATAAAAACTGTTATCCAGCTTTACAATGTCAAATTGCAATGCTCATATGGGACAATATGGCTGGGGTCCAAATTTACAGCTGGTGTTCTGGTTTGTGTTCACTTTAAGTGTTCAATGCGTGGTTATGTTTTTTGTCTTTTGCCTGAATTTAGTGCATGAGCTTTGTGTTTTTGTGCCGTGCTTAAGCTTTGTGGTGTTGTGTGTCGCACATATATCAGTGTTTTCATCACTGCCATGGAACAATCAGTAAAATTTAATATAAAGTGAATTTGGGTTTTAGAAAATATTGTTTTGTAACAAGGTAAGTTTAACATTTATATTTGCAGCATACAGGTGTAGGGTTTTAATGTAAATATTGTGCTTTATCTCTTACCAAATCTAAATACTGTAGAGATTGCTTGAGGGTCAGGAGATATATCAGAAGAGCTACAGTACTTGATGGATATAATTTGTGTTTGTAAAAGTGGCTGACATTTAGCTGTCGCAATTACATCCCATCAGATTTCACCCTTCTCATTCGCCCACTCTACCCCCCACCCCAACCCATGTTTGTCATTCCAGAGGGAATCCTGAACAATGCCCGGGATACAAGTGTCATGGATACTCTACCACTGAATGGTAACCATGGCAACAGCTACAGTATCGCCAGCGCTGAGTACATGAGTGACTGTGTCCAGATCATTGACCGGGGCTATAACCACAAGGAGACCACCCTGGAAAAGAAGATCCTGAAAGAGCTCACCTCCAATTATATCCCCTCCTACCTCAACAATTCCCACGAGCGCTCAACAGAGCAGAACCGGAACCTAATGAATAAGCTGGTCAATAATGTTAGCAACGGTGGCAAGGACAGTGGCTATGGGATGGGCTTGGGAGTGGGGATGGGCATGAATGTCGCGCTGAGCCTGGATGACCACTCCACCTTTGGTCTGCACCACGACGAAGGCCTGGGCCTGGAGTTAATCCGCGAGGAGTCTAACGCCCCGCTGTTGCCTCAAAGACCGCCCCCTTCACTGCAGGCGGTGGACAACCTCCACAATCACCTCCACCAGTCAGTGCCGCCACCCCTCCCACTTCCCCACCATCCCTTCTCGTCCGCCACCACTTCCTCCTCGTCTCGAAGGCGGATCCCCCAGGAGAACAGCGAAAGTTTCTTTCCCTTACTTACTAACGAGCACACCGAGGACGAGAGCTCGTCACCCAGCCACAACCACCAGAGAGACTCCCTCTATACCAGCATGCCCATGTTGTCCGGCCTGCCCGACGTGTCTGCGGAATCTGCTGATGGCTCCAAGGATGGCGGGGATGCCAAGAGCCCAGAGGCCAGCTCGGATGACGTTTACTACAAGAGCATGCCCAACTTGGGCTCACGTAACCACCTCCATCAGCTGCACTCCTATTACCAGCTAGGGCGGGGCAGCAGCGATGGCTTTATCGTGCCCCCAAACAAAGAGGATCTATCTCCAGAAGAGGCCCACCAGGAGCCCTCACACCTGGTCACCAGCCTATAGGCCCAACACCCTCCTATGCCTCCAGTGTCCCTCCTTTTACTGTAGTCCTCTTCTCTTCCCTGTGTCCCCTTGTTCCATCAGTCGTTGGCAGTGGTAGCCTTTGTTCTTATTCTGTGTCCCGAAGAATGAGGCGGAGCAAATAACTGTACTCTCGCTGTTACTCACCACAAACAGGATAATAATTGCTACGTATGGGGGCTAATATGTGACAATATTTGGTTAGACAGTGCGGGAATCTGTTGATGTTGTGTTTCTCCGCTCAAACCCTGTGTGGTTTGGTGTGTTTTGTCTCAGTGTGAAGAGACAATTACTCACACAGGATTTTTAGGTCTCAGAGATAGAGTCTGACATTCAAAAGGAACTGCATAGCCCCAAACTATACAAGTCTAAACTGTAGACTTCACCAGAATAAATGGGAAATTTAAAAAAGGACTATTTTATTATACTTCTGTATCTATATTGACTTTTTGAAAGATTTTCTTCCTCTTTGGTGAGTTGCAGCACATTTTGTTTGCTGAAGTGTCCCTTCAATGAAAAAAAAGACAAAAAAAACCCAACGCATTTTGAACAATTACCATGAAGGAATTATTGATCGTATGCTTTCAAGCATAGCTGTTCTTTTTTCTTTCATTTTACTGTAATAACAGTTGTTAAAAGAGGGAGAAAAAAAAACTAATAAGAGAATTATGAGATATTTCTATGTAATTGTACAGATAACTAGCATTGCACATAATAGTATGCTTTTTTTTTGTTCCAAGCAAACCCTTTGTCTCTGTAAATGTAGTGGTTAGGAGCAATTTTGTTCTGTTGTGCTGGCCTTTCTGGGTTTCTGGTACCAGTCTGTTTTTGGTTTCCTCTTTATCACTTTCCAAGAAATTACCATCTAAATAGAAACAAAATAACACAAAAAAATCACAACAAAACACTTACTGTGCAGGCATTTTTGTGCAACATATTCACTTTTGTTTTCAGGTGTGTTTTCTGTTTCCTTTTGATCTCTCTTCCCATTTTTTTTTTTTTACTGTGTAGATAGCAGAGCTCGGGTTCACAGATCGTCGAGGAGACAGCATAAGTCCACGTTAATCAGGAGTTGTCCCTCAGAAAGGTTCATAGTGCATTCTGCATCTCTATTGGCATTCAGTAAACGTTTTTGCTTCTCAGAAAGAGAACAAGTTGAACATCGATAAGCACTACGAGCTTATACAAAAAAGAACAATGGTTGTTTTACTTATTAAAGAAAGAGCTTTTGAGGGTGAGAAAAACTGGAAGTGTTTTGTTTTTTTTCTTCCTCGAGGAGAAATTATATTTATTTATTTGTTTAAATAAACCGTAATAAATTGGAGGATGGAAGTAAGTTTAGTGGCACAGATAAGTCTTTATTATTGGCTATGATTATGGCTTCTTATTTATTCCTTTTGTAATGGTTTCCAAGTTGAATGACCTCATAACTAATATTTGTTGTAACAGTGAAACAAATAAATTACTGATTAAGATTTATCACTTAGCTATGGCAAAAGTTCTGGTGTTTTGTCTGGGTCTTGGAACACTTTTATATGGGTTATAGGGAAGGACCTCCAAATGATGGAACGATCAATGATTTTTTAAATTTTTATTATCAGTTAATATCACTCATTAGCCCTCTGTCCATTTTAGTGCCAAATGAATTTTGGCCCTGCAACAGTGGATGTGCTCTGTATGCTCTGGTCTGCTTTACAATAGAAGCAGTGATTTCATAAGCTGTAATAAATATTTCAATATCATTGCTGGTGTAACCAATTAATTCTTTACAAATACTGTATGTTTTACATGCGTTTCATAAGCTAAGCAGGGCACATGAAAGTCACCTCGATCATTCTGGCAGAAGACAAGAAGAGAGGTAAGTTTGCTGTGTCCTACAAAGTAACCTTTCAAACAGTGTTTTATTGTTTCATGGTTTTAGTATCTGAAATACAGTGCTGATAGTTATGGTCACAATATAATCATATTCTTCTGGTTGGAGAAAAAAACCCAAATCAGGATGTTAACCATAAGAACTTTTTATGCCGATAATCTGTCAATAGTGTGTTTACAGATGGTTATGCTGCCGTAAAGTAGCAACCAATCAATGAATACAGCTTCAAATATTAAAAACATATTGTATGATAAAACAAAAATGAAACTGAATGATATTTGTATATTTAAATTCCTTTTTTCAATCATCTTAGCAACACAACTAAGCAAACTTCATATAGTGCAGTAGAGCAAATTATTTTGGATTGAGAATTTCTTGTAGAACTGAATGGAAGTATTTCGAAGCAGCTTTCAGCAATTATTGACCACAAGGGACAGAAAGACTCCAAAATAGTCCCATCGGCCTGTCAAGTTTTTATAGCTAGCGTGTTAGCAAACCTGCCGACTTAAACTTCCAGCAAACAAAGAGCAACATGAGCCTCCCACTGGGGTTGTTCCGACCCACCTGACGAATGTAAGTTCAATATGTACTTGCCCAGTCAGCCAACTCCTGAGAAAAATATCAGGGTCTTTAGCTTTCTAGGTGTTTAACTTTCTATCAGTTGTTTACTTCAGCCTTGCTGTTTAGTGCTGGTCAGGTACTGTACACTCTGAGTTTCCTTGTGGGCAGGTGAAGGAAGGTTTAAATATATTCTGTTTTATAGGAGGGAGCTATTTACAATTAGGGTCTGGCATTTTACATTGCATTGTGAAAATTAAATGAACAATTGAACATTGAATAACTTTACTAAAACCAATATTTCAACCACGCACATATAAAGGACCCAAAGGTAAAGGCCCAGATCATTGGCACAATACTGCACAAAAAAGGAAATGACATATAGTCTAATAAATTAATCATATCACTGTGTGATGAGCAGTAAGCAGTACTTCTCTCTCACATATTTTCCTTTTGTATTTTACCATATTTTACATGTAGAGTATTGCAGGAAGAAAGGGTGAATTCAGCCCATTTTCACAGAGCTGGTACTGTGATTGATGGCTGAGTTATTGTGAAAAATTGCCAGAGATTTTTGGCCCCTCTTATTACAGCCTGAATGTTGCATCAAAAGACGAAGGGGTGGGGGTGGTGGGGATGAGCTCTGGCGCCTTCTCTGGCCCGTATGCTTAAGCATGGATCTTCACTTAGAGATATGACTTGGGTGGACAGAAAGAGCTCCGGCCGTCACCGCTGCATCACTTTGAGTGGCATTTCCATACCCGAGCGAGTCCATGAAATGTGCTGAAGATGTGACTCCTATCCACTTCATTAATGAGTTGTTACGCAAGCTCATAATCCAACCCAGGCCCTGAAGCTGCCCGGGAACATGCATGCGTGGCACAAAATACCACGGTGAATAAGCAATACTGCAGCTTACTTCCCATTGGCTTGGGATACTTGTAATGCCACACACCATGTTTATTGGCACATGAGAGATAGAGATCGCAGCCCTTGTTTGATATTTTCAGTCAAACGGTATTCATTATTCACGCTGTTTACCAAAGTGAGAATATTTTCTGACTAGCACAAGTGTGTATTGATTTTGCTGGCTAGGCTTTAGACTGAAATTGTTGATTTCTAAAGGTTTTCTGCTTACCTCCCTAACCACATAGTAAGTGGTGACATGTGCTCAGTGCTCCTAACTTTGAACACTTTGGAGATCTCAAAGAAATAATTTTAACATTTTAATATAACACTATTTATGCTCTGACTTTTTTGGAGAGATTCAATGATATTATAGGAACATGCAACCATCTTATATACATATGTATTTATTTCATAGGTTATCATGAAAATTTGAAAACACTTGTCAAATATACCTTTATCTACACTTTTAACAGACAACGGAGCAGATGCTTATGATAAAAACTAAAAATTCAAGCCCCAGAGGAATCGCTCTCTGGCAAGCAGTTTCATCCAACTATCCATGTGACTGAAGATATCCTTGTTGTTGACAGTTAAGGGCGATGTCATGATTTCCCTGCATCCCTCATCCAGCACTTAACCCACCTCCAATTCTACATTCTGAATCCATGACTGATTTATTTAAATGTATCTATCTTGGAATTGAATATTAAACTCATCCAATGTAGTTTTCTTTGTAAAATCAATGTGATCTGAGATATTGACAATTTCAGTTTGTTCAGTCTGTTTTTGATAAACATTTTTGGGACTTTGATCTGGCTGGGTTGATGTTTTGCACAGTGGATCTTTTGTTAATTTAACACCATTTTCCAGTCTTTCCCTGCCTTGTATGATGACTGGACATCCAATTACACAGGAAATATCCTTAGAACAGTTTAGCACAGGAGGGGAAATGGAGTGGAGACACTGTGGATGTGCTGATAAGGACGAGTCCATTTGTGAGCTGTCTGGTTGAGGAGATGGTATTGGAAAACTGTTGTCTGCCATTCGTGTCTAAACGTGGTCGAGAGCAGCTGGGAATATGTGTGTTCGCGCATGGCGTTCAAGGACGTGAGTCTGCATGTTTGTATATGCGAGCGAATGAGAGCAAGTGGAGAGAGAAGGAGCTGCAGATCATGTGAACAACACTGTATGAGTAGCTCAGATGTGATACACAAAATGGCACATTTCATATCTCGCCCCATATTGAAAAATCAATGGCCGAATGCCTAGCAGAATTCCAAATGAAAGGTGAATCAATGTCATCTCCAGCTTTGTGTATTGGGGAAACTTGACAGCCTTAGCACATAAAAGAAAATACCTCTGTAGCTTTTTTTGTCAAGATAACATTGATTTAAGATGGGGGG